CCTCCCACCTTGGTCCCAAGGCTTGCAGTTGAGACGGCAGCCTGCTGATCTGCCGCTGCAGCTCCTCCGGGTTTCTCCTTGCTCCTCCTAAATTTGTCGGAGTGGAGCGTAATCCGGATCTTTCCGGAACCCTTCCGCACTACTAGGTCTTTCTCCCAATGTAGTAGTTTCCTTCTCTACTGTAACGTTTTCTGCGTCCAAGGAGTACCCATGTTGGAATAAGCCCTTTAGCATGGGTTAATCCCGTCGAGCTGGATCCCTACTACATGCCCGGGTCGGCTCAGTGCAGCTGCCTAAGTGTTACCCCGGCTTGTAGACGATGTCGTAGTGGAAGTGCGTCTCGAGGAAGTCCATCCACCGCACCTGTCGTCATGAGAGCATAGGTTGCGACTTGATGTATTTGAGACTACAGTGGTCGGTGTAGACCGTAGTCTTAGCTTCTTCCAGGTAACACCTCCACGCCTTGAAGGCTGTAATGATCGCCAAGGCTCCTTCATTGTGGAGTGGGTACTTCAGCTGTGAGAGTACACTACCCGTGCTTACCCATTCTTGCTTATTTCTATTTTGCTGTTATCATTTTGTGCTTGTTTTTCTATATTCGTTGCTTTACTATATTTATAATAGTTATAGCACCAAATTGGGTTGCGTGCACCGAATTCTGTTGAATTTTGGTTAAATCCGCGTGGCTTTGCGTTCGTGTGATTTCGGTCGAATTTCTTCTACCGAATTCAGGAAGGTTCCGTTCCGACGGTTCCCGATGCACGTAATATTCGCGTAACATCCTGGTTACCTGCCTTGTATCGTGCTTATATATAGCCAAGTAGTTGTACCCAGGATTCATAATCATTTTTCACTCGAAGTTCTTCACTTGCTAAAAAAACAACCTTAAAAAAACCGCAGGGGCGACGACGATCACGCCGATTCGGGTAGGTTCAAATCCAGTTCCGCGTTGATTTTTAATTCCCCCCGAGTGGTTAACCGAACAGGCATTGAGGGGAGCGGCGACAATTTTCTCCAGGAGCTCGCAGCTCTTTGTGCCGAACAAGAGTAGACGTGCGCGACTCTTCAACGACTCGAGGCTCTGCTCCCGGACCATTCACCAGCCGCCATAGCAGCAGCGAACGCAGCGGCGACAGCAGCAGCAGCGGCAGCAACACCTACATTCCTTCCTGCGACAGCGTCACTAGCCACAGTAAACCTCGAAGCAACGAAGCCGAGGCTACCGGAGGCGTTCGATCCTAGCGCGAAAGGGAGCGACGTCAGTCAATTTGTAACTGTACCTGAAATTTACTTCGAGGTCGTTGGATGCACGACCCGGACCCACGATGCGACACGAATTCGGCTCGCAGCAACACCGTTACGAGGCCCGGCAATGGAGTGGAATTACAACAACGAAATCGTGCGAGGCGAAGGGTCGTGGGCGCAGTTTCGGGCAGCCCTAATCGAACGTTTCGAGCCACCATTCTTCGAGCACGGGAACCATATGCAAGCAATACCACAGCAGGGCAACAATTACAAGAAGTCGGAACTGGTCTGATTTGGGTACCTGCTTACCAGATTTGGGTACCTACCATGGGTCTTCCAGCTGGCGCCTCAAGCAACGACTCTGTACTCATCATCGTCGATTGCCTCACGAATATGTCATATTAAGCACCTTGTCGCACAACCATCGCCGCTGACAAAACCGTCTGACAGTCGATGTTCGCCTGCATCGCATTCCAACTATGATTATCAGCTCCCGTTGTGACCCTGAGTCAACGTTAAAAATTTGGAGGGAGATGTGGGCGCAGAACAACAACGATATATAGTTCTCATCTGCCTACCGCCCACAGGCCGATAGTCAGGATGATGCACGAATCAGACGATGTAGAACTCATCCGTACCAACTGCCCCGAACTTGTCCGTTGGAAAAACCCCATACGGATGCTTGAAATCACCTACAACAACGCCCTGTCATCAGCGACTAATCACCCACCGAATTTCCTCAATTACTGGAACTCATCGTGCCTATCAACCCTGGCATTATGTCACGGATTTACAGAACATCAACGAGAAACCTGCCAAAGTCGACACCCGGCGTCGGGAATCCATCATGACGGCAGGGCAACCGATCCTTCTCGACACAAAGAATATCCGCCCCCCCTGTCTCGCCAAAACCCCATGCACGATTTTTTGGATAATTCGCATCATCAAATGGATCGTATTTTGTGTCTGGATACGGTTTGAAGTACTACTAAGAGGCTACAACCAAGCATACATCACATGGGACATATCAGGCATACAAACTCAAATTGTACGAGATTTTGTCAAACGTTTCAAAACCACCCATGGGTGGATGGAAGGATTCGTCATATTGGCGATCGAAACTTTTCTGTTAAACCAACTGCCATGTGATGGTTTATGGATAATAACGCCTCATGACAAACCTTTCAAAGCAAGTGAAAGGTCCTTACTTAGGCACTGGTGAATAAACAGACGGTGTGTCTACTTCAGTCTCGCCACCCTCAGGGATGACGTTTAATAAGATGGTTTCTACATTAAATATTTTACAGTAGCATTAGCAATGGGAGGAACAAGATTGTCTCCCTCGTCGATGTTTAATCCAGCAGTTGGGTCAGGTACATGATCGTAGTTTGCTCCATTTAATCCCATGTTGCAATTTTACGAAAGCTTCAATCAGCATCGACGGGACTTTGTATTGTTATACATTCAAGATAGGTTGATAAGATGGAATAAGACCAAAATATAAATACAAGATAGGAAACTAGTGTAGCAGCGAGGACACACAATGATGAAACTATAGATGAACTAGTACGGGAAGGAAGTCAAGACGAAATCAAGCGAACACACCGTTGCAATCAACAGTATCCAGGTTGGCAATACTTATGTTAGGGCTACGAGAACTCTTCCAGCTTGCTTTTGAATTTTCACTCTTAGAAAGGAATTGTGTAGTTTGGACTATGAGGTCCCTCTCCCACTGTAGCAGTTTCTGTTTCTCTGCTAATCCAATTTCAGGGCGTACGGAGTACCCGTGCAGGAATAAACCCTTGAGCAAAGGATTCATTCCTTAGATCTGAATCCCTGCCATATGTGCGGGTTGGCTGAGTGCGTCTACTTTGTTCTTAAGTCCCGGCTTGTAGACGATGTCGTAGTGGAAGTGTGTTTCCAAAAAGTCCATCTACCGTACATGCTGCCTAGAGAGTGTCGGCTGCGACTTAAGATATTTAAGACTACAGTGGTCGGTGTAGACTGTTGTTTTCGCTCCTTCGAGATAACACGTCCACGTCTTGAAGGCTGTGACTATCGCCAATGCTTCTTTTCTAGTGAATCGGGTAGTTTAACTCTGCTCAGTGTAGTTTCTTGCTCAGGTACGCGATCGGCTGCAACCCGCATCCGTGATCCTTCATCAGTACTGCTCCGACTGCTTGGTCACTCGCGTCTGCTTCCACCACGTACTACTTTTCGGGATCCGGTAGGATCAGTACTGGGGCAGTTGTCAAGGCTGTCTGAAACTGCTCCATGGCTTGCTGTTGAGGGGTTTCCCATCTGTAGGGAGTATCATTTTTTAATAAGTTCGTGAGAGGCGCTGCTATCTTAGCGTACTGCGGCACAAACGGGTTGTAGTAGTTGGCGAAGCCTAAGAACTCTTTGACGTTTTCTGGAACCTTCCACTTCTTGACGGCTTCGATCTTCCACGGGTCTACGTGTACGCCCTCAGCACTCACCATGTGCCCAAGGAACTGTACCTTCTTCTGGGTGAAGTCGCTCTTCGACAGCTTCACGTAGAAGTTATTTTTCAGCAGGACTTCGAAGGATTTCCGTGGATGCTCCACGTGCTCCTTCAAATTTTGGAGTAGATGAGAATGTCTTCCAAGTACACCACCACGCACTCGTCCAGCAGGGGTCGTAGGATGTGGTTCATTTCTGCCTAGAACGTAGCCGGTGCATTGCAGAGTCCAAACGGCATCACGAGGTACTCACAGGAGCCATATCGTGTACGAAACGCCATCTTGTGGATCGAGTTTTCCCCCATCTTGATATGCCAGTATCGAGACCGTAAGTCCAGTTTATACATGAAGTCGTCTATACGCGGTATCGGGTATGTGGTTTCAACTGTCTGTTTGTTGAGTGCTCGGTAGTCGATGCACATCCGTAAACTACCGTCCGGCTTAGAAGTGAAGAGAACCAGTGCGCCGTAGGGTGATGTGGAGGGTCGGATGAGGCCGCGATCGAGCAGGTATTCGATCTGCTTCTTCATGTCTGCTAGCTTTGCTGGGCTGAAGTGGTACGGTGCACGCAAGGTTGGTTTTGAACGTGGTTCTTCCACTATATTATGTTGGTGAGTCCTTCCAGCGCCACCCCTGCAGGTAGGTCGCCCGGCATGATGTCCTTGCACTCCACTAAGACCTTCTGTACTGCTGCAGAAAGCTCGGAGTTTTGAGTTCTCCTTTTCTACTGCCATCCCCAGTGCCAGGTAACCTGTGCTGGTTTCCTTCACCGTCTTCTCAAACCGTAAGAGTGTCGCCTCGGGGATCTCGCCTGTATCCATCCATCTTCATAGCTCCACTCGTTTCCCGTTGTTGTAGATGTTCGCCTTCCGGTTGACCCAATCGATCCCAAGGTTGAACCGTCTCAAGGAGTCACGCCCCAAGATGAAATCCAAACCCTTGATGTTGGTGACGGGTAACGTTGGTCTCTACCCAACGCCCCTATCTGTAGCTGGAGGGTTGCTTCGCCATGGATGGGTAGCCTTCTGGCGTCCACCATGGTTGGTGCGAACTAGGTCCCCTTGTAGGACTCTTCAATTTTCTCCAACATCCCACGGTCGCATACTGAGTGAGATGCTCCACTGTCCACCGTCGCCTGGAGGCGTCGTCCTCTGCAAACCACCTCGAAGAGTAGTGGTTGTTGCCGCTTCGAGTAGCCGCAGATGGTCTCGTTGATAGGATCATAGGGTACATCAAATAAATCATCCCTAGGTCCTACTCAGGAAAGGGAAGATGGGTGACCCTCCCGCAAACGACAAGGCAACGAAGAAGAAGAAGTTGGTGAAGGAGCACAAGGGGAAGGGCTCCATCGCCATCAACGAGGTTTGTTGTTCGGACGATGAGTACGTTGAGGCTGCTGGACCACTACCCTCCTTCCCTGAAAAGGCTAAAACGAAAGATCCCACTTTTGCTAACGCATATGCCCATCCTCCATCCCCACGCAGTCGCGGTGTGAAACGGACCAAGAGGAGCTGGAGCTTGAAGGGGAAAACCAAGTGGGCCCGGCGCTACATGGAGCTCGGCTCCCTGAAGAAGACGGCAATGGAATCTTCCGCCAGCATTGCAAGCATCCGACGGTGGGTGGGGCAGGTGCAGTCCGGCGTGTTTCGTGGTGCTGCTAACTGTCGGAAGCGCCTACACGGCGCTGGCCGGCACTCACATCACCCCGACACGGAGAAAGCTCTCTACCGCCACATCTATCTACAGCGTGCGAATGGGGTGCCGATCTCGGTGAAGGAGACGCAGCGGTGGAGCCGTGAGTGGATGAAGAAACATCACCCTGACAAGAACTGCAATGCCTCCTTGTACTGGAGCAGAGATTCCGCAATCGCTGGAACCTTGTGATGCGGGTGAATACGAAGGTTGGTCAGAAGTTGTCGGAGGGTGAGTCCTTCTCTTGCCTATTGCTTCTGCTATTCTCATTTCTACCTTCTTTATATTCTCAAAGCCGTCGCCATATCCTTGCTACTGCATGTACTTGTGTGGATATTGCCGTCTGTGCTTACATCCCCTTGTGCTTCTCTCTATGTGTTTCTTCCGTTGAGTGTCGACATGGCAGAGTGTGCTCACGGTTGTGAAGGCTTCTGGAAGTTCGTTCGCATCAGCCGGGCACGCCAAAACATCACCTCTCGCGCATCATCAACGCATACAAACTCCTATGTTTGTGGAGATGCCGATGGAGAGGACCACAAACCACAGAAGTGCGCGGTCTATCCTATCCGCACGGCTGGCTACGAGAAGCAGAGACTCACGGTTATGCTTGCGTGCACAGCCTCTGGAGAGAAGTTGCGGCCGTGGGTGTGGTTCATGATGAAAAACGTTCTAAGTGTGACATTCCCAAAGGTAAATCACATGTCTATGGTGTTTACGGTGATGACATATCCCTCTGTCATTGCTTACATCCTTGTTCTCATCCTGTTACGGAGGTGTTCTGATGCCACGTTTCCTTTACTTGGCTCGGCAGGTGTCATGGTCCAAGCCGAGGAAAATGGGTAGATAGATGAGACGGCGGTGAAGACGTGGTTGGCCAAGGAGGTGCTGCCCTTCCTGAACCCCAAGAAAGGGCAGTCGGCGCGGCATTCGATGCGAGTGTTGGATTCGTACTGCGGGCACATCACTCAACGGGTGCTGCAAACGAATCGAGCGCACTGCATCACCCCTGTCATAATCCCTGCAGGTTGAACCAGCCAGATTCAACCTGGATGTCTCGATCAACTGCTGCTTCAAAGCCGCGGTGCGAGCCCGCTACTGCAGGTGGTTCATGCACCACGGCATCAACCTGAGCACGCTAGAAGGTGAGTTGATTAACCGTGCCTTCTGCCCTTAAAGTTTTCCACGCCTTTACTCACCCGTCCCTTGAATATTCCCTCTCATCCCCCAACAAGGAACTTGGGGAGGCCTCTGCATCACGTGGTGCTGCAGTGGATTGCAGAGGCGTGGGAGCAAGTGGCACCCAAGGTCGTCATCAAGGCATTTAAGACCTGCGGGATCTTGAGCCACCTCGACGGGACCGAGAATCACTTGGTCATGTCTCACCTGCGCGTGAGGGGCACCACATACGTGTCTGAATACATGTCTTTGCGGGGGAGCACGCCTGCTTGGGCAGGCATAGGGAGGGAGGGAGGAAGAGGAGGGGGAGGAGGAGGAGGAGGAGGAGGAGGAGGAGGAGGAGGAGGAGGAGGAGGAGGAGGAAGAGGAGGGGGGGGAGGAGGAGGAGGAGGAGGAGGAGGAGGAGGAGGAGGAGGAGGAGGAGGAGGAGGAGGAGGAGGAGGAAGAGGAGGAGGAGGAGGATCTGCAGGCAGACGACGTCAGGGAAGTCGGCGTGGCAACTGATCTGAACGCCTGATGGAACCGTCAAAGACGGCCAAGCATGCCTAGAACGTCCCAGTCTTAGGAGTGCAGGAGCACACTTCTGCTAGTGCAGATGAAGAGGAGGGCGTGACTGAGGGGTACTAGATAGAAATGGCAGGGATCATTGTATGACAACTGTACCCTGTAAATGCATAAAAACCGTTTAGGACCCCCCTCCTTTTTAGAAGAAAACCCTTAAACCTTTAGACCATATATATAAGACATATCTGTCCAAACTCGTACACACACATGGGTCTCTTATAACCAGAACACTCATTTATAAGAATCTACCCTGATTAAAGACACCCATGTTGTGAGGATCGTAGAGTTTAGAGTTTAATAATAATGAATCTTGGGTACAACTACGTGGCTAAATATAGGCACGATACAAGGCAAGAAACCCAGGTGTTACGCGAATGTTTCGTGCATCGGGAACCGTCGAGAACAGAACCTTCGCGAATTCGGTACAAGAACTTCTGCCGAAATCACGCGCACGCAAAGCCACGCGGCAATAACCGGAATTCCACAAAATTCGGCACACGCAACCTAAATCGGTGCTATTACTACAATAAGTATAAAAAAGCAAATATTCTAAGAAAACTAGCATAAACAAGTACAAGATAATATAAATATGCAAGATAATGCAAGTATGGGTAAGCGTAGCCGTTGTACTCTCATGTTTGTTTCCAAAAAGAAGCTGGAAAATCAGCCTCGGTTTTGAAAAACGTCTGACATCTTAGCATTTTTTACCTAAACCAACCCTTTTTCGCTGACTTCTTAGGTTCTAGTGGAGTTACGCCCAAGATAGCGAGTAATTTCTGTTAGAATCAGGATCCCTTAGATAGGATAGGTCTGCCTGAGTATGTAGGTATCGGAAGTCTTGGTGGTGAAACCTTGTTGCATAGTAAATGTAAATGACAAGGATTGATTAAAATAGACATTACACACAAGATATAGATTCTAGCTAGCCATGTACTCTGAGGGGTACATTTCCATATTAACCGCAACGCATTGCTACAGTGCTAGCAATCCTTTAGTTACCTTGTTGCTGTAATTGTAGGGACAGTTACGACTGTTGCAATTCCTCGCAAGCAGCCGTTTGGTCCAGGTTAGTCAACAGTCGCGACAGTTGGCTTGCAACTGTTGACCTGTGTGCCCTATATGGGCTAACCTGATAGTGGTACATGGTATACTTCGATAGTAGCGGGTGCGATACTGGTGCACCTTCGGGAATGCTTAAGTCAATTCCCTTCTGACTCCAACACTCCCCTTCATTCCTGAAGGTGTGCCACGTGGCTCTTCTTGACGACTCCGCACAGGTCCGCGCAGTACTGAAACTTCTGACGTGGCAGTTTCTTCGTCAAGAAATCGGCTGCCATTTCGCCAGTTGGGCAGTAGGTGAGCTGGACTTTGCCCTTGTCGATTTCGTCCTTGACGAAGAAGTAACGGAGGGCGATGTGTTTTGTGCGGTTGACGAAGCCGGGCTTGTTCGCGATTTTGAACGCGCTCTGGTTGTCGCACAGTAACTTGAATGACCCGTTCATCGCCATTTTCGTTTCCTGCAGGAGCTCCATGAGGTAAAGGCCTTTGCGAACTGCTGCACTTGCTGCGATGAGCTCAGCTTCGGCTGACGAAAGGGCGATCAGCTCCTGCTTCTGAGAATTCCAGGAGATGGTTCCCGCAGGTTCAAGCTTGAAGACAAATCCCGTGCGGGACCTCCTGTTATCTACGTCCCCTGCGTGGTCTGCATCCACGTAGCCGGTATGTTGTAGATTAGCCGTTAGGTTCGCCTGTAGGCGAGGCCGACGTCAGGAGAATGAAGATACTGGGCGCATCGTAGGTCCGCCATAATCTTCCCTTCAGGTCGGCGCAGATACTGGGCGAGCTGGCTAGCGGCGTACGATAGGTCCGAGCGGCATGTGACAGCGGCAAAGAGAAGGCACCCGAGTTGCTGCTGATAGAGGCGATGATCGGCGGCGGATAGTGGAGTTGTATCGGGCTCGTGGTTAGGCGGAGGAACGCGGAAAGGCGTTGTGAGGTTGACGGGGGCGATTCCGAGTTTCTTGGCGAGTGTTTTGGCGTACTTCGCGGCCGAGAGATGGATAGAGTCGGCCGACTGTGTAACGTTGAGGCCGAGGAACTGGGTGACATTGTGGTTCACATTCACCTCGAGCTTCTGTTTGATGTCACTCTCGAAGCGATCTAGCAGATCCACATTGGCCCCGGTGTAGAGCAGGTCGTCCACGTAGGCAACGAGCAGAATGAAGCTCCCGCGGGACTCGAGCCGGTACATCCCTTGGTCGTGGGGCAGCTGCTGGAACCCGAGCTCGATTAGCATGGTGTGAAGGTACTGCTGCCACAGGCGCGGTGCCTGCTTGATCCCATAGAGGGACTTCTGGGGGAGGCACACGGCATCGCCATCCTCCTCAAAGGCGTGCGGCTGCTCGACGAAGATAATGGCGTCGACACTCGATGAAGATAATGGTGTAGAGGAACGCGTTCAACACGTCGATCTGGCGGAGTGTGCGCTGCTTCACAGCTGTGGCGCGAATGAGAATAGGCACTGAGGTATGTCGCCTGACAGGTGCGAACGGCTTGTCGTAGTCGACGAACTGGGTTTGCTCAAAGCCGCGGACTACCCAGCGCGCTTTGTACTTGTCGATGGAGCCGTCTTCGAGTGTTTTAATCCGGAACACCCACTTGCCGCTGAGAATTTTCCTCCCCTTTGCTGTTGCACGTGGTACTAGCTTCTAAGTGCCTCGCCTGTTGAGTGCAACTACTTCGGCAGCCATGGCTGCTCTCCACTTCTCACCGTCGAGACCCTGCAGAGCTTGGCGAACAGTGGTGGGCTCCACCTGTTCAAGGTTACCACGGATGGCGACGGCGAGTCCAAGAATGCGAAGTCCGGTGAGGTTGGACTTGGCGGTGTTGGTTACTTCGACCACGTCGTCGTCGTCGCCAGGGATGTCGCGAACGGTGTCACGAGAGGAGTTGAGGTTGGAGTCTTCGTCCATTGGTGAGTGCATTTCTGCACTTTCGTAGTTGCGTTGTGCCTGTACTGCTTCATGTTGATCAGGATCGGTTGGGAAGAATGTTACGGTGCCGGGTACGAAGGGTGCCTTGCCTGCGATCTGATTCTCTGGTTGTTGTCCTGCCACGTCAACCTCGTCCTGATCGTTCCCGTAACTGTGCTCCCCCTGGAAGATGTTGTCTGGTGCGTCTTGTGCAGTGCGGTGCTGGCGGTACAGTGGCACCGTCAGTCTTTCGTAGAAGATGCAGTCACGTGAATGCGTGACTTGGTGAGTGGCGAAGTCGAGGATGGTCCAAGCGTGGTACTCTGGTTCGATGCCGAGGTGGATGCCCCAGCGTGCGCGGTCTTCAAATTTTCCGGTTCTGGCAGTGTGGGGACAGTACTGTACCATGCATTTGAAAACCCAGAGCATGCGTGTGTCCGGACTTTTCCCTGTCCACTCCTTGAAGGGCGAGTTGTTCTTGAGCATGGCTTTTGAAGAAAGCTTATTGCGCAGTCGCAAAGCATGCGCCATCGCGTAGGGCCAATAAATGGTTGGCACAGCTGACTGCTTCGTGAGAGCTCGCATTTTTTTCGCGAGGCTCCTGTTGGTTCTCTCCGCAAGACCCTGCTGCTGGTGAGCGTAGGGGAGAGAGATCATCCTCTGGATACCCTCTTCCGCACAGAGGGTTTTGAACTCCTATGTCTGGTACTCCAGTGCTCCATCTGTCTGGAAGGCCTTCAGCTTCTTGCCTTCGCTTTGTGTTTCTGCCATTTTCAGCCACAGGTAGAAGCAGTGGTAGGCGACATGGCGGTTGGTGACGTTCGCGGCCCAGACAAAGCGCGTGCCAGCGTCGATGAAGGTGATCGTATATTGCTCCCCCTTCAGCCCTTTTGCCATGAGCACCAAGAAGTCACTATTGACTTTGTCGAGTGGTTCGTATCGTTCAGCGCCAGGAAACGTTTCGGGAAAAGGAGAGTGAGTTAAGGCGGCAGTCGGACAGACGGTGCAGTTGGGCAGATCTTCCCTTGGCTTGAGTGATTTTCCATCGGGCAGTAGCAGCGCTTCTTCCGCGAACACCTTTGCGTTGATGCAGTGGTTGAGTGTTTCTACCGAAGGGTGTCCGAGTCGTTTGTGCCAGATGTCAGCGTCGGCGCGATATCCGAGTGTGCGTGCATACTGTTGCTTCTCTCGCGCTAATAACGCTTCTGTTATTGGGCTTCTTGTTTCCTCCGCAGGTTTTGCTGGTACAATAACTTCAACGGCTGCCGCGTGAAGAGTCTCGAGTCTCGTCCCGTTGTATTCTCCGCTGGAGTCTCCGATGGTTTTGGTGTCAGTTGTCACGGGAAGCTCCAGCGGTTCTTCCGGAGGCGTCGGCGTAATTTTACGGCGACGATCTTCTGGCTGAGTGACTTCGCCTTCTTCAAAATCGGTATCGCTCCCCTCATGTGGACTCGAAGATAGTTGCTTCCATCCGTCGTGACTGGAATGAGGTGAGGCCCATACTTGGTCAGGAGTTCTTCTTCTGGGGCAGGTAACTCGGTTGCATGTTCAGACACATTGACGATGACTTCTTCTCGCGCCACTTCAGTAACCTCTGGTTCTTCTCCTTCTGCAGGTTCTTCGGTGGTTTCGGACGAACCTCCTTCAGCTCCGACGACTTGTCCAGGACGTGCTCCCCACCCTGTACCGCGTGTTGCCCAGGCGACATCCACTGCATCCCAGCCTTCTGCCACGTTCCGGCCGGTTGGTTGCTCGACCCTAGGCCAAATTGCACATGCCCATCCTCTTGCTGAACTAACCTCTTCTTCAACTGCTTGTTGCCCGGTGTCTGCAGGATTTGAGGTCGAGGCAACGGCACGGCAAGAGCGCGACAAAGTCCGTCCGGTCCTGGTCGCTCCAGGTCCGTCTCTTCCGGATGGGTCCAGACAGGTGACGATGATTGTCCTGGCGGATCGAGGACGATGATGCGGTCTTTGTCGCC